TTTCACATACCTTCTTCCTCATCTCACATACTCGGTTTCTTCTTTATCCTTTTCTTGCTTCTCCTCCATGTCGCGTCCTTATGAATATTCCTCCTCGCCTCACCACCCGACGTGTCGATAGGGCAGGCCGGGCGTTTCGCCTACCTTGAAATCTCCAACAACAGTCACGAGATGGCGGGGGAATCGTCGGCAACATGTGGTTCTCGCCGTGGCGCCGCACACATTCGATGTAGAGCTTCCAACATCTACACGGATGGAGAGGTGGTTGAAATGCGGCTCTCGCTCCGGTGCCTCGCACATTCCTGTGAACACTCCTTCACTAAATGGGGCTCCCGCCTCAGCCCTGCACGCATTCGTCGTGAAAAACGTCCAGCAGTTACACGGAAATCGGGGGGTCACATTCTCAAAATGTGCTTCTGACACAGCACCACGCACATTCGGCTGAAAAGCTTCGAATAGTTACACGGATGGAGGGCGGTTGCTTTTCAAAATGTGGCTATCGCGGTGGCCCCGCGAACATCCCCCTTACTTCCAACAGCTATATGGCTGGATGGAAATTACTTCACAACACCTGGCCCTAGCCTTAGCCCCGCGCGCATTCGTCTCAAAAGCTTGCAACAATTACACTAGTGTTAAAACTTTCGTGAGAGCGCTTCGTGCCATTATGGCAAAACCGTGCAAGACCTAAGATTGCGCAACATATGCACGGATACAAGGTGGTTCCTCTTCGAAATCGGGGCTCTCGCTTGAGCATCCCTCAGGCTTTGTAAACCAGCACGTTCCGACACAACAAATACACGGGTCGGGAGCGGCTCTTTTTCAAAGCGGGGGTCTCGCTGAAGACTTCCCTTGGGCGTTTTGATCCTGCCTCGTCGCCGTCCGTATCGCTAGACGCATGAACGGCGGCCCGCCGCTCTCAAGATGGGGCCGCCGCCTGAATTGCAGGGCAATGGGGGGGGGGCTCGTCTTTCCAGGGGGCGCGTCCCGCACCGAAAAGGAATCAAAGGGCTTGTGAGGAGGGGACCAGGACGGGCGGGCGTATAGCAGCATCGTCGACGCACCTTGCGTTTATTCGGGTCCTCCTCCTCCTCCTCCTCCTCTTCCTCCTCCTCCTTCCCCTCCTTTTCCTCCTCCTCCTCCTCCTCCTCCTCCTCCTCCTCCTCCTCCTCCTCCTCCTCCTCCTCCCCCTCCTCCTCCTAACCTCTCCTCCCTTGCTTGAACCCCTCCCTCGTCGCTCCCCCCCTCCAAAACATCGTCTTTCCATCCTCCCCCGCCGCCCCCCCTCCCCCACCCATACCCCTACCCTGTCCCTCCTCACACTCCTCCTCCACATACCCCCCTCCTCTACCAAACCCTTCCTCCTCCGCGTTCCAAACCCCCCATCTCCCTCCACTTCTTCATGTTTTTTTTTCCCACATCCAAAGTGGGGTTCTTGTTTTCTCTGGACACCCCGCGCAGGAACAGGAACACACACACACACACACACACACCCACTCACACTCACTCACACTCTCTCATCATCAACCTCATCAACATCATCGATGATGCTCTCTCACATGCTTAGTCACTCACATACTCGTCATCATCATCACCACTCGCACTCTCTCACACGCTCACGAACATCATCATCATCATCATCATCATCATCGGCATCGGCATCATCCTCATTCAAACATCATCATCGCCACCACCACTCACAATCAATCATCATCCTCTTCACCACTCATCTTCACCACCACTCATCATCCTCATCCTCATCATCGTTGAGTAAATTGTGAGGAAGTCTCAGGCGGGAGCCCCCTCCCTATGGGGCCCGCAGATCATGTTGGTAATCCGAGCGGGTCATCGGAACCCTGTAACTGTCGTCACTTTTGGGCTCCCCAGGCCTGAAAATGGAGGAAGTCTCAGGCGGGAGCCTCGTCTGTGAGTGAATTGGGAGGAAGTCTCAGGCGGGAGCTCCCTCCCTATGGGGCCCGCAGATCACGTTGGTAATCCGAGCGGGTCATCGGAACCCTGTAACTGTCGTCACTTTTGGGCTCCTCAAGCCTGAATTTGGAGGAAGTCTCAGGCGGGAGCCTCGTCTGTGAGTGAATTCTGAGGAAGGCTCAGGCGGGAGCCCCCTCCCTATGGGGCCCGCAGATCATGTTGGTAATCCGAGCGGGTCATCGGAACCCTGTAACTGTCGTCACTTTTGGGCTCGTCAAGCCTGAATTTGGAGGAAGTCTCAGGCGGGAGCCTCGTCTGTGAGTGAATTGCGAGGAAGTTTCAGGCGGGAGCCCCCTCCCTATGGGGCCCGCAGATCATGTTGGAATCCGAGCGGGTCATCGGAACCCTGTAACTGTCGTCACTTTTGGGCTCCTCAAGCCTGAATATGGAGGAAGTCTCAGGCGGGAGCCTCGTCTGTGAGTGAACTGCGAGGAAGTTCAGGCGGGAGCCCCCTCCCTATGGGGCCCGCAGATCATGTTGGTAATCCGAGCGGGTCATCCAAAACCTGTAACTG